ATTTATAATACAGTAAATTTAGATAAATATTAACTGTAAATGAAAGTACATTGGAGTCCCCAATAATTTTAGTTTGTTTTTTGAGACAGGGTTTTGCTCTGTCACCCAGGCTGTCATGCAGTGACTTGATCTTGGCTCACTGCAACCTCTGCCTTTTGGACTGAAGCAATCCTCCCACTGCAGCCTCCCGAGTTGCTGGACCACAGGTGCATACCACCACCCTCGGCTAATTTTTGTATTTTTTGTACAGACAGGGTTTTACCATGTTACCCAGGCTGGTCTCGAACTCCTGATCCCAAGCTCTTTGGCCTCCCAAAGTGTCAGAATCACAGGTGTGAGCCACTGCACCTGGCCTAATAATTTTTTTTTTTTTTTTTTTTTTTTTTTAGACGGAGTTTCACTATGTTACCCAGGCTGGAGTGCAATGGCGCGATCTTGGCTCACCGCAACCTCTGCCTCCTGGGTTCAGGCAATTCTCCTGCCTCAGCCTCCTGAGTAGCTGGGATTACAGGCACGCACCACCATGCCCAGCTAATTTTTTGTATTTTTGGTAGAGACGGGGTTTCACTATGTTGACCAGGGTGGTCTCGATCTCTTGACCTCGTGATCCACCCGCCTCGGCCTCCCAAAGTGCTGGGATTACAGGCTTGAGCCACCGCGCCCGGCGTCCTAATAATTTTAAATATAAATTGTGTCTTGTATTCTGAGCCCGATACATTTGAGAACTTGTACTAAAACATTTGCTTTTGGCTAGACATGGTGGCTCATGCCTATAATCCCAGCACTTTGGGAGGCCAAGGCGGGTGGATCACCTGAGGTGAGGAGTTCGACACCAGCCTGGTCAGCACGGTGAAACCCCGTCTCTACTAAAAAAGATACAAAAATTAGACAAGGGTGGTGGCACACGTTTGTAATCCCAGCTACTAGGGAAGCTGAAGCAGGAGAGTCACTTGAACCCAAAAGGCGGAGATTGCAGTGACCTGAGATTGTGCCATTGTGCTCCACCCTGGGCAACAAACAAGAGCAAAATTCTGTCTCAAAAAAAAAAAATAATAAATGCCCTTTTGTTTCTAATATTACTATTTTACTCATGGCACAATACTTGCCCCTCAACCGTAAATGATAGATTTTCTGTCACGTTTTCTTCCATTCCATATGAAGCCATTGGTCTCCTCCATCACAGTATTTTCTTGCTAATTCTGTCTTTAATCATTTGCATTGTAATCTTTTACCTCTAGTTTTGTATTAATTCAAAAGCCTTAAATAATTGCATGGAGTGATACAAAAAATGCTTGTTCATGAACCGCATACAGTCATTTATGAAATTGTAAATGGCATTAACGATTTTTCCTCTTTTCTTCTTTTTTCTTCTGTTTAAAATAACTTGGGTACTGTCTTTTCTTTATGCTTGCCAAGCATATATATTAGTGAAAACCTATACGGGAAATGGCAATTTGGTTTCCTCTTCTTCCTGTAGTTGTTAGTTGAGTAACGTGATTCGGGTTATTTCTAATTCTGGCACTGTATTCTCTTGGGTTCCCACAGACGCACACCCTGAGAAAGGATTTGAAAGCAAGTATTAATAATTCACTGGGAGGCGATCTCAAGAAACAATGATGGAGGAATGCCAAAGCGAGATAAGGATGGAAGGGAAAGGCAGTTGAGAAAATGGTGAGATATCAAGCCAGCTGCCCCCAAGAGCAACTGTAGCTTCATCTTGCCATGGAACTCTGGGAATCAGTGTAGCGAGTATGCCCCAGAGTTGCCCCAGGACGAGTGAGGAGGCTGGTTATGAACTGCCGGGGGAGTGTTACAGTTCAGGCTGCCAGAGAAAACCTTGCCATGGGAATCAGCCAGGCATACACTCCAGAGTCAGGAGTATGGATGGAGACAATGACCATGGCAGCCACAAACACAATGCAAGGCTTTTCATTCATCAACTCTATTGTTTTATGTGCTTTGAAAGATTTAGATAACTGGGGCTGGGGGCGGTGGCTCACGCCTGTAATCCCAGCACTTTGGGAGGCTGAGGTGGGTGAATCACCTGCGGTTGGGAGTTCAAGACCAGCCTGACCAACATGGATAAACCCTGTCTCTACTAAAAATACAAAGTTAGTTGGGCATCGTGGTGTATGCCTGTAATCCCAGCTACTTGGGAGGCTGAGGCAGGAGGATTGCTTGAACCTGGGAGGCGGAGGTTGTGGTGAGCCGAGATCGCACCATTGCACTCCAGCCTGGGCAACAAAAGCAAAACTCCATCTCCAAAAAGAAAGAAAGAGAGAGAGAGAGAGAGAGAAAGACTTAGATAACTGGCATCAACTTATTTATTGGAGAAGAATTGAAAAGTGAGACCATTTAGGAGGCTTCAGATGGTCCAGGTGGCAGCTTACACTTGATTATATGGAAATAAAGACCACCTACAGGAGAACAAATAAAGGCTATCAATTCATAGCTTACGATAGCAAGAGAGAGAGCCACCATCAAGTGCATTTGGTATAACCTCGAAGTCAAGCAGAGGACTGCGAAACTTGATAGTGGAAAAAGCAAAAACTTTCAGGTCTGCCCTGATGGGAGGCTGTGGCCTGGGGAAGCAGCAGGCAGCTAACTAGAGGTGGTGAGTCCTATGGGATTGGTTAGGGGTGCATATTTGGCTTTCTCTTGGTCCTAAATTGGAAGTGGGGACAGAAATGAGAGAAGCTGGCAGTTATTTGAGACAGGGTCTCACTCGTTACCCTGGCTGGAGTTGCAGCGGCATGATCGTGGCTCATAGCATCCTCAGCCTCCTGGGCTCAAGCAGTCCTCGCACCTCAATTCCTAAGTCACTGGGACTATAGGCATGTGCCACCATGCCTGGCTAATTTTATTTTAAATTTTTTGTAGAGACAGGATCTCACTGTGTTGCCCAGGTTGGTCTCAGTCTCCTGGGGTCAAGAAATCCTCCTGCCTCAGCCTCCTAAAATGCTCGTGACAGGCAAAGCTGGCAGCTATCAGAGCATACTTGAAGCCTTCTCTTTTTCCGCTCTAAAAAGTTCTCACCCCTCTGCCTGCCTTTGAGTCTTTGCCAAAACACAAGTGAAGGTGGCTGCTGCTCTTGCTGCATCAGGTTCTGGATAAACAGTTTCGCTTGTTCTCATTCGGCTGGTCTTAATTTCCATAGATCAAACCATTTTTACTTACATCCTCTTGCTTCTGTCATATACTTGCTTTGTGCCAGCCATTTGAAGCTTCTTCTTTTCCTTCAAATCAGCTTGCCAGTCCCTAAAATGTGCGAGCTGCCTGTGCTGTTCATGTATGTCTGCTCCATCTAGAAAACTCTCTTACTGCTTCTCCAGCTGAAGGAACAAATCCTGCTCACTTTACACCAAAGCCCAGCTCAAGTATCACCTCATCTGAGAGGCGTTTCCTAACTCTTCCAGGGAGAATTAATTGAGCCCCACTTCTGAGATCCTGTTACGCTTTCCTCAGGCTGGTAGCATAACCCTATTGCAGTCATAGTTTTCAGCCAGTGTCTGCGTCACCTGAGGAAATGTAAAACTCTTTTGAGGTAGGGTGCCTTTATATTGCTCTTGACTCTTAGAAAACGCTCAGTAAATGTGAAATGAAGTAGAATAAAATCATTACTCTCAAAACTCATTTTTGCTATATTCTATACAACCAGAGGTAAAGGGAAGATTGGTGGTGGTGTCTAACTTCACTGACTAGTCTTTTGGGCCAGGCGCGGTGGCTCACGCCTGTAATCCCAGCACTTTGGGAGGCTGAGGTGGGTGGATTACCTGAGGTCAGGAGTTCAAGACCAGCCTGGCCATCATGGTGAAACCCCATCTTTTAAAAAAAACCCAAAAAACAAAAAAACAGAGTTTCGCTCTGACACCCAGGCTGGAGTGCAGTGGCGTAATCTCGGCTCACTTCAGCCTCTGCCTCCTGGGTTCAAACAATTCTCCTGCCTCAGCCTCCTGAGTAGCTAAGACTACAGGCATGTGCTACCACTCCTGCTAATTTTTTTTTGGTTTTTGTTGTTTTGAGATGGAGTTTCACTCTTGTTGCCCAGGCCGGAGTGATCCACCAGCCCCAGCTTCCCAAAATGCTGGGATTACGTGAGTGAGCCACCACACCTGGCTGAATTTTGGGTTTCAAATGCCAAACCTGGGACAGCTGAAGACTCCTCAGTGATATGGACGACCAATAATACTGATTGGTAGGGGATGGAACTAAGATCTCAAAGCCTGGCAGGTAGCTGTCTAGGACATTTAGCATCAACTGACTTCTTTCTTCCTTCCCTTCAGGTAACTTAGGGATTTCCTAGGCCAGTTCTCAAAGAAACGCACCTTACATTATGACCAGGACACAGACACACCTACAGACACACATCCGTGACTGAATCAATACTTAGCCTTACACCATTGCACTGCTTGCTTTTCTTTTAGAGATAAGGTCTCACTCTGTTGCCCAGGCTGGAGTGTAGTGGTGAAATCATAGCTCACTGCAACCTCGAACTCCTGGGCTTCAAGAAATCCTCTCTCCTCAGCCTTCTAAATAGCTAGAACCACAGATGCACACCACCATGCCCCGCGATTTTCAAACATTTTTGTGGAGACAGGGTCTCAGTATGTTGCCCAGGCCGGTTTCAAACCCCTGGGCTCAAACAATCCTCCCACCTCGGCCCCCAAAGTGTTGGGGTTTCAGGCCTGGGCCACTGTGTCCAGGCTTGTTATTTTCTATCCTGTTGTTTTGTTTGCTTATCATTCTTGTCTTCCAACAGCAGTTTTTAAAAACTGTCTCGGGGTAGAGGGAGTATGGCTCACAGCTCTTTTTCTTAAATCTGCGCTGTGGCTCTTAGACCCAGATGTCTGTTATTCACTCCCAAGCCTCCTAGGCAATCCGCCAGTGAGATCGTCCTGCTGTTAGTCTTTGAGTTAATGGCCAGTCAGCCCTGGGTCTTAGTGGGTGGGAGTAGAAGTGAGGGCATGCAGAGAGAAAGCTCATTAAACATGGCTTTGCCCTGCCAGAGAGGTTGTTCTTTAAAAAGAAGCTTAGGTCTGTAATTTAAAAAAAACAATTAGACAATTTAGAAATGTAGTCATCTCCTGCTTAACACCAGTAATCTATTACTGAAAATTGGTTGTTCTGCATGAAAATGCTAACCTTCAGCCTATTTCTTATTTTAAACAAGAAAAATTATACTATGTCAACCCCAGACCCTCAATCAATTTCTTAAAAGGTTAACTAAAGCATGGTCAGGTACCTAAATATAATTCTTATAAAACGAAACATCTGGTCAGTTGTGAAATGTTTGAAACATTGCTTCTTGATCGCCAAATGATTAATATGGTCAGTAACAAATAGGGGCTTTTGTGCTGTAGAAGGCTGAAGACCAAGACAGGCTCATGCTTTCCTTTAGGCGGCTTCCCCCTGACCCTAGGCCCCTGACCACCTCTTAGAGCATTTGCTTTAGAAAACTTGTAAATTTTCTCTCTACATCTTTGAGATGCCAGGTTTTTTTTGGTGTTGGTCGTTATTTTATCTTTAGTCGATGCATAATCTTTCAGAAAGCCTTGTCAGTTTTACAACCCAGGAAAGTGGTTCTCCAAGACCTGGGAACTATTTCTTTGAAATGCAATCAGCAGGACATAGTATCTTTATCTCTGTTTCTGTGGGAGGGCAGCAGGAGCCTGACTCCCAGTTGCCTGTCTCCAAATTTCAAGATGTCATGCTCTAAGTTACAAAACTAACTCTTGTTGCAAAGCTAGGATACATTCATTTTTCCTTTTTATTGATTTCTGAACAACAGAAATTTGTTTCTCACACTTCTGAAGGCTGCGTGTCCGAGAGCAGGGTCCCAGCATAGTCAGGTTCTGGTGAGGGCCCTCTTCCAGTGGCAGATGCCCAGGTCTGGCAGTATCTCCCAGGGGAGGAGGGCAGAGGCTATTATTCCTTTGGAGAAAGCCAACTAGCAAATACACAATGGAATTTTAGTTAGCCTTTCAAAAGAAGGAATTTCTGCCATTTGCAACGACGTAGATGAACCTGGAGGACGATGCTAAATGAAAAAGGTCAGGCAGGAAAGGACATGTGCTGCAGGAGCTCACATAAACATGGAATCTAAAACAATCATGCTCATAGAAGCAGAGAATAGAATGGTGGTTACCAGGGGCTGGGAAGCAGGAGATGGGGAGATGGCAAATGATTACCATGTTTCAGTTAGACAGGAGAAATGCTTTTTGGAGATCGATTACACAGGATGAGAACTATAGTTAATAAAAATGTATTGTATATTCCAAAATTGCTAAGTGAATACATTTTAAATGCTCTTCCTACCAAAAAATGATGAGCATTGGCTGGGCGTGGTGGCTTATACCTGTTATCCCAGAGTTTGGGGAAGCTAAGGCAGAAGGATCACTTGAGGGCAGGAATTCAAGGCCAACCTAGGCAACATAGTGAGACCCTGTCTCTATAAAAAATAAAAAAATGGCTGGGGAAAGTGGCTCATGCCTGTAATCCCAGCACTTTTGGAGGCCCCCCATAGTGCTGAGATTATAGGCATGAGCCACCAATTCCAACTTGAGGTTGGGAGTTTGAGACCAGCCTGACCAACATGAAGAAACCCCGTCCCTACTAAAAATACAAAATTAGCCAGGCATGGTGGCGCATGCCTGTGGTCCCCGCTACTCAGGAGGCTGAGGCAGAAGAATCGCTGGAACCCAGGAGATGGAGGTTGCAGTGAGCCGAGATCTCGCCACTGCACTCTAGCCTGGGCAACAAGAGCAAAACTCCATCTCAAAAAATAAATAAAAATAAAAAAATTAGCCAGACATGCTCGTGTACCGTAGTCTTAGCTACTCAGGAGGCTGAGGTAAGAGGATGTCTTGAGCCCAGGCATTCAAAGTTATAGTAAGCTGTGATGGCACCCCTGCACTCCAGTCTGGGCAACAGAGTAAAAACTTGTCTCTTTCAAAAAAAAAAAAAACATGAGGTAATGGATACGTTAATTAGCTTGATTTAGTAATTTCACATTGCATACACATATATAACATCACACTGTACCCCGTAAAGACATGAAATTATAAGAAGCCAATGGCAAACATAGATGGCCTGTGACTTCCCTTGTGTCCTTCAGTACTAGTTCACCCAGTCCTTTAAAAAAACTACCCCTTCTGATGAGCAGTTTAGTTCAGACTTAGTTCTGGCTCCCCTCCCCTACTGCAGCATAACTCTGCCTGAAGTTTCAACGTTGTTCAGTGCAGTTTTTGCTTCGACACCACCAGTGGTCCTGTGTTGCACCCCTTTTGCTTTGTTTCATTTTGGTTTTTGTCTTTTATTTTTTTTTGGTAGAGATGGGGCCTTACTTTGTTGTCCAGGCTGGTCTTGAACTCCTGGCTTCAAGTGCTCCTCCTGCCTCAGCATCCCATGGTGCTGGGATTACAGGCCTGTTGCACCCCTTTTGTTGTTGTTATTTGTTTGTTTGTTATTTTTTAGTTTTTTTTTAAGGTGTCTTGCTCTGTTGCCCAGGCTGTAGCACCGTGGCATGATCATGGCTCACTGCACCCTCTACCTCCTGGCTCAACCAACCCTCCAGCTTCAGCCTCCTGAGTAGGTGGGACTACAGATGTGTACCACCCTGTGTGGCTAGTTTCTTTGTATTTTTTGTAGGACAGGGTTTCACTTTGCTTCCTAAGTTGGTGTTGAACTCTTAGGCTCAATCCATCCAACCACCTCTGCCTCCCAGAGTGCTGGGATTACAGGCATGAGTCACTACACCCAGCCTTAATTTTTGTATTTTTTGTAGAGACAGGGTCTCACTCTGTTGCTCAGGCTGAATTTAAACACCTGGGTTCAAGTGATCCTCTGGCTTCAGCCTCCCAAAATGCTAGGATTCTAGGCGTGAGCCCCTGTGTCCAGCCCCTTTTGTTGATAGCTCCACAACTTTCCAAAACGTTCACAGGGACTCTGTATTAGTTTTCTAGAGTTGCCATAACAGAGCACCGCAACCTGGGTGGCTTAAAAAAAACAGAAATGTATTCTCTCACAGTTCTGGAAGTCAGAAGTCCAAGATCAAGGTCTTGGCACGGCCATGCTGTTTCTAAAGGCTCCAGGGAAGAAGCTGTTCCATGCCTTACTTTTAGCTTCTGATGTTGCCAGTAAGTGCTTGTTGGTATAACACTTTAATCGCTGTCTCTGTTGCCACATGGCATTCTTCCTGGGTCTGTTTCTGTGTCTCTGCTTCTCATAAGGACAGCTGTCATATTGGATTGAGTCCATACTACTTAATATAGTTTGGATATTTGTCCCCTCCAAATTTCATATTGAAATGTGACCTCCAGTGTTGAAGGTGAAGCCTAGTAGGGGATGTTTGGATCATGGGGACGGATCCCTCATGAACGGCCTGGTGCTCTCCCCACAGAATGAGTGAGTTCTTGCTCTACTAGTTAATGTGCAGTCTGATGGTTAAAATCTCTTGCCATGTGACATACTGGCTTTCCTTGCCTTCCACCATGACTGGAAGCTCCCTAAGGCCTCTCCAGAAGCAGGCGCTGGTACCTTGCTTCTTGTACAATCTGTAGAACTGTGAGGCAGTTAAACTTCTTTTCTTTTCCTTTTTAAACATTTTTTATTTTATTTTATTTTATTTATTTATTTATTTTTTTTTTGAGACGGAGTTTAGCTCTTGTTACCCAGGCTGGAGTGCAATGGCGCGATCTCAGCTCACTGCAACCTCCGCCTCCTGGGTTCAGGCAATTCTCCTGCCTCAGCCTCCTGAGTAGCTGGGATTACAGGCACGCGCCACCATGCCCAGCTAATTTTTTGTAGTTTTAGTAGAGACGGGGTTTCACCATGTTGACCAGGATGGTCTCGATCTCTTGACCTCGTGATCCACCCGCCTCGGCCTCCCAAAGTGCTGGGATTACAGGCTTGAGCCACCGCGCCCGGCCTTAATTTTTGTATTTTTAGTAGAGAAGGGGTTTCACCATGCTAGCCAGGCTGGTCTCAAACTCCTGACCTCATGATCCGCCCGCCTCAGCCTCCCAAAGTTCTGGGATCATGGGCCTGAGCCACCTCGCCTAGCGACTAAACTTCTTTTCTTTGTAAATTACCCAACCTCAGGTATTCCTTTATAGCAATGCAAAATGGACCAATATAGTACTTGAGTGTGACCTCATCCTAACTTAATTTTTTTTTTTTTTTTTTTTGAGATGGAGTTTCCCTCTGTCACCTATGCTGGAGTGCAGTGGCAAGATCTTGGCTAACTGAAACCTCCACCTCCTGGGTTCAAGTAATTCTCCTGCCTCAGCCTCTCAAATAGCTAGGATTACAGGCATGCGCCACCACCCCCGGCTAATTTTTTTGTACTTTTAGTAGAGACGGGTTTTCACTATGTTGGGCAGACTGGTCTCAAACTCCTGACCTCAGGTGATCCGCCCGCCTTGGCCTCCCAAAGTGCTGGGATTACAGGTGTGAGCCACTGCGCCTGCCTTATTGTCACTGCTTTCCAGAGGTGCAGGGTCTCAGATAAAGATCAACACTGCTCAGTGGTCAGGAGGGAGAAAGACCTGTGTGCCACTGAGCACAGGCTGTAACTTCCTGCCTTTAGTTATTCTCAGTTACTCTTAGAAGTGGTTTATTTATCTTTGCAAAATGAATCTCACAGTCATGGGGTGCCGCTGCCACCAGGTGGCAGGGCCCACTTAGTGACTGTCAAACTTCAGCCTTGAAAGTATATTGCTACTAAAGATAAAATAGGTTGATACAGTGGCTCACACCTGTAATCCCAGCACTTTGGAAGGCAGAGGCAGACAGATCATGAGTTCAGGAGTTCAAGACCCGCCTGACCAACTTAGTGAAACCCCCATCTCTCCTAAAAATACAAAAATTAGCCGGACATGGTGGCATGAGCCTGTAATCTCAGCTCCTTAGGAGGCTGAAGCAGAATTGCTTGATCCTGGGAGGCAGAGGTTGCAGTGAGCCAATATTGCGCCACTGCCCTCCAGCCTGGGCAACAGAGCGAGACTCTGTCTCAAAAAAATGAAAGGGTATCCTTTTGTCAGACTTCAGTGGGCTGTGCAAGAAATCCAGGGAATGGCTGGGCGCAGTGGCTCACGCTTGTAATCCCAGCACTTTGGGAGGCTGAGGTGGGTGATCACCTGAGGTCAGGAGTTCAAGACCAGCCTGACATGTGGTGAAACGCCCAGTCTCTACTAAAAATACAAAAATTAGCTGGGTGCGGTGGCACATGTTTGTAATCCCAGCTACTTGGGAGGCTGAAGCAGGAGAATTGCTTCAGCCTCTGGGGGCGGAGGTTGCAGTGAGCTAAGATTGCGCCATTGCACTCCAGCCTGGGCAACAGAGGGAGACTCCATCTCAAAAAAAAAAAAAAAAAAAAAAAAAGAAAGAAATAAATCCAGAGAATGTGCAAGTTAAACTACTGGGATGCAGGAAGGCCACACCAGAGTTTCTACTCCATTTTAATTTTATTTAAAAAAGCAAGAATTTCAACTTTACTGACATTGATTATAAAGTTTGCACTGGATTCGTCACTCTGAATCTGTGTCATCGTTATGTGTCATCTCCTCAGGGAAGGACAGAA